CTTCATATTAGTGACAAACAATAACAGTAACTACAGCTTTTTGACAAGTTTAAAATACATTCAAAATGTTTAAAAATAAACTACAAAAATTAATTTAAAGTGCAAATTAAAATATAGTTGTATGTGCAACTGTATTTGATAATGTTTTGAACTTTTGAAATATTGCATAGTAGAACCAGAGGCTGAACTTCATATTAGTGACAAACTTTGGTGTTTTTTGATGAGTCACTTTCATTTTTGCTTCTACTTTTCATTTAAAATAAGTTTTATTCTCGGCAGGTTTTTAAGGTTGTTCTTCTACATATTAAAAAGTTGTTAAACAACTGAGTGGTGCACTACTAGTGTTGAGAAAGTGTATTGTACCTTCTTCAATATCAATCCCATGGCCCTCTGCGGCCCAAAGTTTAAAAACTGTTGTTCTTTTGAGGCCCTCAATGTGGCGCTTGTGGGYCGCGGCCCATGGGTTAAGAATCTCTGACATAGAATACCCAGATGCAGCCTATGTTTTCGGGAGGTTTTCAGCTGCATTTCTCGGGCACATGAGTTGGCACCTACGAATTTGGACAGCCTATGGCACTGGGCAGTGATGTCAGCGGCCGACAAATGCGTCCGACATTGACTGCAGCCCATGAACTGAGACACAGTCGTGTGACCAACTTTAATTAATTACTGGCTGTTCTAACAGTTGCTAGATATCATTAAAWGGCACCACCACGTAATTTATGTAATTGGCTAGAGAGAAAATGATTCTTGCTTTCACAGCAATTTTCTCCAGTAACACCAGAAAGTTATTTGTCGATTGCAAGATGGGTCTGCAAACTCACTAAATAAAGCAACAAGGCTGCTAACTTGGCAACATTTTTTCTTTTTTCTTTTTGTGGATTTTATTTTTTACAAGTCATTTTGCTCAATGTGCAAAATAACTGTTTTTAATGAAAGGTTTCATTAGAATTTCTGATTGATTTTTATAAAAGCATTAACGGGCTGCTGAGCAGGCTTCTGCATCAACTTGTCTGAACTTGTTAAATGAAACCTTAGACCAGGGGTGTCAAACTCATTTTCACAGAGGGCCACATGAGCGTTATGGTGGCCCTTGAAAGGCCAGTTGTAATGAACTTTGACGTTTCATGTTTAACTTTGACCAAGCAAAGAGGTGGCCGTGGCCGAGTGGTTAAGGGATTTGTCCTGGAACCGGAAGGTCGCCGGTTCAATCCCCAGTCCAGCTCTAGTCATGTCCTTGGGCAAGACACTTCATCCACCCTGCCTACTGATGGTGGTCAGAGAGGTCATTGGCGCAGCATGGCAGCCCTGCCTCCGTCAGTCTGTCCCAGGGCAGCTGTGGCTACAATGTAGCTTACTATCATCAGTGTGTGAATGAATGACGCATGAAAATTGTAAAGCATCTTTGAGGGTTTCAAAAAGCGCTATATAAGACATTATTATTATTGTTATTATTATTAAACAGTGTTTTAACATGTCCTCTTTTAAACACTGATAATAATTAAGTGCACGACTGAAATATTATTAAAAGTAAAACTAATAAAGTTTTACTCACTGATGAGTTTCTAGTGAGTAGCATTATGGCAGGTTTAGTTTATGGTTGATGCCAACTTCAAAACAGCTTATTTTCTGACATTGTTATTGTGCTATCCAATTAAATTGCTCTTAAAGCCAACAGCTCAGGGGCATGACAATTACTGTCTTTCACCATTTAAATTTATTTTGTTGCATTTAATCATAAATTTAAAGTTTACCATTGATATAAGAAACAATTTTCATTTTAGTTTAAAAACATATATTTTGAGGGGGTACCCCCCACCACCACCCCAGCAGCGGGCCACATGAGTTGGACACATGTACCTTAGACCATAACCTCCCCAACTTACACCTATTGTTTTCCTTTATTCTGCTAACAAAACAGCTTTTCTGATTTTGATGTCGTCCTTCAACTCTTTAAACAGAGGTAAATTTAGATTTTTTTAAACAAAAGTCAGACTGTGTCTTATAACTCTGCAGCTAAACAATCAAGATCCAGTGTTTGAGAGGCTGAGGAAAAATGCACAAACATGCTCTGACATGGAGTTTATAGTTCTAGTGCTGTTAAAGAAAACAGCTGCGCTTGAATGACACCACTGAGAGTGCATGGTGGTGTCAAGTAATCAAGTCTTCCTTATTTTTAGTTTTTGGTTTTAAGATTGAGGTCGTTTCACTTCAAGTCAGGTTGTCTTGACTGTCAAAGAGCATTTGGAGGAAAAAACGTTTAGGTTTATATTCGAAGTGATGCGTTTGGTTGTGGCATGTTTGCAGGGGAGAAGAGGAATGCACGACAGTCTTTAGGTGTCATTTCCACATAGTTTTACCATTTCTGTCTACAGTTTGTGTGCATGTRTTAGTGCTCACAGTGCTGCTAGTCTGCATTCCTGAGATGCCTAATCAAGTATTATGAAAATAAAACCTGATCGAATAGACTAAACCCATTCCACAAGCTGACATTTTCTGCCTGTCTTATATGTCTCCAAAAGAGGATTTACACCCCCCACCCCAAATCTACTCATGTTGACAGTGAGTTTTGTTTTTTGATTTCAAGTTTTTATTTCAGCTCTTCTGACGGTCTTTTCTGCCCCCTGGTCTCTGTTGGCAGGCTTGTTTGTGATCTGCTGGACGCCCGGCCTCGTTTTGCTGCTGCTCGACGGTCTGGACTGTGACTCCTGCAGGGTGTTGGACTTTGAGAAATACTTCCTGGTGTTGGCGGAGTGCAACTCGTTTGTCAATCCCATCGTCTACTGCTTCAGAGACAGCGACATGAGGAGGACCTTCGAGGAGATTTTGTGCTGTCTGTGCAAGCGGAAACGCGACCGGAGGGGCTTGTCTGAAGCTCGCTTTACCACCTTGGAGCAAGAGGTATTGTCTGAAAGCAACGGAACTGAGGACGGCAGTCGCAAACAAAACAACCATTCACGATAAGGACTGATTTGCATTTCAAGCTTGATTAGTTAGCTTAAAGCAACCTATTGTAGAGTTCAATTGCTTTTTCATTCTTGCTGTTTGTAAAATATTTTAGTTTCAAGGGCTACAAAATCTGTTAGAAAGAAAACAAACGCCAACATTTTAATCAAGTCACCTGTGCAGGCTAGTGTTTCACCTATAAAGCTTCCTTTTGTGTCTCTATTATAACACCCTAATGGTGTTTAGGCTGCAGTTAAGTGATTTTTTTTTTTTTAATTTTTAGTAGATACAGAGAAAAAAAAACACATTTTTGCTCACCAGCTGCCAGCACTAAATGTTAACAGGAAAAAAAAGTGACAAGCCATTATCTACCTGTTGTAGATAAAACAATCTCAGTCTGGAAATAGTTGCATTCAGACCAGCCTGAAWAACTGAACGGCTAGTCCAAGCTGGGCCAAGACCAAAGTAGATTGSTGCTGTCCTAAAACAGCTTTCAACACCTTTTCACATTATTTTGCAAGTCTTAATATTTCTGTGAATTTTGCATTGCGCAGTAATTTACATGGCATTCTGTGGTTGTTTCACAAGCACAATTAGCATCAGCAACATTTCCAATGCAGCTTGGGGCACGTCCTGCAGGAGTATTATGTTTTTGCAGGAATAACTATGCAATGCAAAATTAAAAACTTATTAATAGCGTTCACATGGACCGCTGTGAAATTTTAGAGATCGGAGTTGTTTAAAGAAGGTTTTTGTCTAACTTAAACTAGCTGTTAGTTTGTCAGTTTTAGTCAGAATTAAACTCTTTGAACCGATGCAGCAAACATATCCATAGGACACTGCTGCAAAAGAGCTGAAGTGTTTCTTTATATTATCCACAGGTAGACATATATTCACTGGCCACTTTATTTGGTACACTTCTTTAATTGCTTGTCAACACAAAAACAAAGTTTAAGTCAGGCATGAAAATGGGAAAGAAAAGTAAGTGAAGTGACTTTAAAGGTGTGGTGGTTGTTGGTGCCAGACAGGCTAGTCAAAGTATTTCAGAAACTGCTGATCTACTGGGATTTTTACTCACAACCATCTCTGGGGTTTAAAATGATTGGTCCAAGAAAGAAAATGTATCCAGTGAGCCTTGTTGAGGCCTCTTCATGGTCCATCTGAACCCGTGAAATCCACTGTCATTAATGAAAATTACAGGCAAACCTTTCGCCCACCTTCGCATACAAAATGAGAAACTCACCAAAACTGGACAGTAAAAAAAATGATTAAAACATTGCCTGCTCTGATGAGCCTGGATTCACTGAACACCAGTGGTCTCCACAGCCCCCAGATCTCAAAACAATCAATTTTTCTTTGGGTTGAACAAGGGATGTGCAGCATGGATCAGCAACAGTCTGTCTTCACGCCGKTATGGAAAATAATCTCTGAGGAATGCTTTTAACATGTTACTGAAGGTCCTGATGCATCTCAGTAATCCAGGTAAAAAAATCAAAAAGAAAAAAAATTGTATAGGTCTTCTGGACGGGTTCTCCTCTAATGAAACGTTTCAT